AATATACCGCATCTAAGAATTCAAACCCTGCTGACGTAAAATGAAATGCACAAATTAACAGAGAAATATAATTCGTGTTTACTCAAGGCAAAGATTCTAATATCATCTTTTAATATATATTCTTCCAATGAATATTGAATTAACAGCCTAGTCCTCAACACACAAATATGAATGCTCTATTGAAGTTATAGAAATCCGATTCATCTGAGTGGACATTGAAACGCCACTCTTGCCGGCATTATTTCCCCATTAATTTAAATTATCAACGAAAATGAATTAAGAATTCAAAGGAAATAGGGCTCTTTTGTCTCCTAAATTTTTGACCTCCTGTTTTCTCCTCTTTTCATTTACATCTTTTGAAGATTTCTTACCGTCGCTTTCGTTTAGAAGCTTTGCTATGGCGACAACTGCCAAATATTTGCTTTCCTTTCCCATGCTTTTCAATGGAACTTTAATATCCCACTTTTTACGAACTAAGCCAAAAGGTTATATTGGACATCCAATTTATCATCCAAGAATTATTATTTTTGCCTGAGAAAGAAATTACTTTGGAATGTTAAGAACGTGAAATTAATAGGAATCATTTGGGTATCCAAATGTTTCTCTTCCTTCATAAGAAAAGCAATCGATATACGCTTCAGCTAAACAACTGTTCACAGTAGCTCCTTATTTTCACATTGAAATGAACCATCTTGTGAAGTACCACTTTTAAAGGAAGTGTTATGAGAGAAATGTGAAATTTGAAAAGAGAATGCCCTCAAACATGCAACATCAATTTCTTAAACCACTCTAGACTTCAAAGTGGAGAAAATGGGGTCTCAAGTTTCGGTTGTCTGTTCTTGACTATCTGTGGTCATATCTGGGCAGATACTACAGTTCCTACTGTCACAATCTTTTTCCCACGAACAGGTGCTTTACTTGATGGGAAGTTGTTTATATTTGGCTTGCAATTATTTGCTAAGCTGTTTGTTTATATGCGTAGCCTCTTGTATTGATTTCTCAATATTTCTCAATATTATAATACTAAATTAAACACACTCGAAAAGAAAAATACCTATTCAATATAGCGCTACCTCTCGAAAGTAAGATTTATTGGTAAAACTATCAAATTAGTAGGGCTTTCTTTAAATACATGCAAATTATTTGCCATAACCACCTTCGAATTGAAATATGGTAATCAATACTCATTTAATTTTAATAAAAAAGCGATATACTCTGTAAAGAACAATGGAATAACAATTTACCTGCCCGACAGAATGCACCGAAAATGGCACAAAGCCGCTCAGTAATATATTTCTCTTCGGAAAAGTGAACTTTGTAAGCAAAAGGTTAATTTAGCACAATAAATGACAAGTATTTTAGGTTGAACATTTATTTTTGGAAATGACTGATGAGAAATCTTACATTACATAATCCGCCTCTTGACTTATGTAACTGTTCATTCAAATAATTCAAAGTACTTACATTAGAAGCTTGAATAATTGGGTTCCAACCACTTGTACAAAAGCCAAGAAGTGGCTTTTTATTATAAACCACAGTCGTCCCAATAGTTTTAATTTACTCTTCATTAAATTTATCCAATAATAAAATTCAACTTACAACTCTCTTTATTTTTCAACCGTGCTTAAATATACAAATCAATTTATAAACAGAGATTTGGAATATTTCGTTAGTAGAAACACATGTAAGCATAAACATGGTTAAGATTGCACACTTTTGGACCGAGCGAAAGACAAAGATTGGCACAAAAAGTTAAAATTTGACATGCGCCTAGCGTTGTTATGAGCGTTAAAGGAAACATATTGATTTTAGCAGTGCTTGGCATTTTCGAAAAACTGTGAGTTACTGAGGAAAACAAAAGCGAATAAACATCGTTGAAATACTTTCCAATCCGATGCACATCATCATTAAAGTATTTCAGGAAACCCATAAAGGTCTATGGAAAATAACTTAAAACAACTTAATATGCTTTAAATGCGCTTAGTATCTAGTTGGTCCAACGAAGGACTATTTTGTATAATTTGAGCAACCCCATGCAAATATGTTCGTTTGTTACTCTGCAACTAAAGCATTTTCTTCGAAATTATGCAACCATTATAGTACCATTATTCTAATAAGCTACTTAAAAACAATTATTTCCAATTGCGTATTTTAATTTTATTTAATAGTGTTACTTATTTTCCTCTACTGCCACGTGCCGGAAAGCTTTGTCTCACATCTTCAGGAATTCCGTAACGAAACTTTGGTGGCTTATCAATCATTAACATTTCACACTCCTGCCTAAGCATTGCATCTAGGAGAAATTATTGACCAACCAGTTAGCCAACTGGCAGGCCAATCATGGCCCGAATCAGGTGCTTTTAAGTTGGTGCTTGCTTTCAGCAAAAACGCAATCATCCTTTGAGCTGCAGTGTAGCCTAATATGAGACTATTTGAAACTAGCTCCTCGCCATGTCCCATGCTTGACTGTCAATAACAAAACAGTCAAAATTTGCTTACTCGCTTATTTCCCTCCTATTATATGGCAATCGCACAATTTGCACTGAAAAAGCCAATCATCCACAGTTATTTATATACTTTCTGCAAGGGAGCAACCAGCGTTTTATTTCAGCCCCCTCATCGACGAAATTTCATTTCCATTACACGTTGGAACTACCATACAACCTGTAAAAAACACTAAGGCAGGTTGAAAATGCATGAGTTTATTTCGTACACAATAATTACATATAATCAAAGTTGACAATGTAAATAAAAACAATTATGATTGATTTGCTTAATTAAGCGAGTGCGGTGTTGTTGTGACTACATTTGACTCCGGCTTGAAGCTAAAACAGGAAAATTTGATTTTAATTATTAAAATACCTAGTGTGCACCTGTTCCTAAAGCACATACCTATAAAATCATGTACTTATAGATGCGCCTATTGAACTGAATTAAGAAATGGGCGTATTGGATGTTCCGAGAGAGATTTAATTGGTAAATAAAACTTTAAGTTGTACAACTCATTTAAATGATAAATAAGGATAATAGTTTATCAATTATGATTAGCATTAAAAGAAGTTCATTTAAATGTTTTCCAGACTTAACGCACATTTACTTTATGATAAAGATTGCGTCGAAGGAATTTCGAAGTGAAAGTGATAAGATAAAACTGGTAAACAATTTTAAATTAATGTTCACTTCAATTTAGATAAAACTGCTTACTTAAGTTTTAAAATCGCTTAATTTTTTGCTTGGCGTAAACATTAAACAAAGGAGTGATAAGTATCGAGGTAGCTGTTCAAGGAACTCCCATAAGAGTGAGTTACCTTGGTCGTATTTAGAGCTTAGAAGGGCATTCTTGTTGCTCACAGCATAGCTTTCATTATCTTGAAACAAAAGTTGAAATAAAAATTTGAAATTAATTGAAATTATGGTAACTTTGAATGCCTTAAAGCGTTTCAAAATTTGTCCATTTGATGGATTTAATACGTGTGCTAAATAAATTTCAGTTCACTAGCAAAATGGTTATAGATTTGACCATGGTGGCAAAGATACATATTTCGAAAGTACACAGTTTACATATCAATTTTTAGTAATTTATTATACTATTTCATTATATTTACCCGAGCAAACCCCCACTCTACGATGCTTATGACAATGTATCTAACCTAGAACCCAATCCACACATAAAACAACACCCTGATAAAAACGTTGTTAATTGCATTGAATTATTTTGTACAAATTGCCTGAAGCGAATTAAATAGCCTATTCTAGTGCAGCAATTGTGTTAAACAACAAAGTAACCACCAACACAGGAAAAATGGATCACTTGTCGTCCTTGCCAATGTGTAATGGCGATTTTATGGCATGCCTTCACGTCTAAATATAGCAGCAGGTCTAGCAATTTACGAGCATTTATTTGAAAGCGTGTTGGATCCGAAAATGGGTGTGGCTATCGAACAGTTCTTTGTAAATATAATATCACGTAAGAATACCATATGGTAGAATAGATTCGACCTTGGGAATCAACTGAAATTGTGAAGAAACATTTTGCCCAGAGAGCTAAAGTGCTACCTAAACGCTGAGTCAATTGCCGTGTTATAGAATTTGTTACCGTATGAGCATATGTTGTTCAGGGTGCAACACGTGGAGGTAAGTCTATTGAACACAATTTATAACAAATTTAACATACTGAAAATAATAATTTGTATTTTAAAATTGTTCGTTAACATAAATTAGTTTCAAAACAACTTTAGTTCCTTAACTTTTCAGAGTAGCTGATCAATCAATGTTTGTAAAAATGTTAATGCTATAATGATTTGTCAATCTCAAAAAACATTTAATGATTGACTCACGAATTAATAGATATAAGGTCTTCATGAATAGTAATTAAATTTAATAGAATCGTATTTCCATTAAATTTAATTTTTATGAAGCACGTTCTATCTTTAAATGTTAATAAATTTAAAAAAATGGTAAATTGTTAGCCAATTAAAAGAAGTACAGTTTTTCCAACATATGGGGTGCAGGAAGGAAACGTTTGTAACTGTAGTCTAAGCTTTCAATTAATCCCTTTCGATCAATCTTGCACATGATAACACATGTCAGTAAATGTTTCAGTTTTTTTGAGCTTCCGGGGATAATGGCAACCCAAAAAAATAATTGAATAAAACATCGATTACAACTCTCTCTATCGCATCGGTTAGAAAAAATTTCGTCAATAGTCCTGTCTAACTCCTATTTTGAGTGTACAGTTATGCTTGTCTGATGATTAAAATTGAGTAAATTTTTTCTACATTGCATAAATAACTGCAATATTTCCAAGTATGAAGCTTTGTGAGCAATTTAAATTTTGGCTGCATATCCATGAATAGGATAGTGGGCGTGAAGGAAGAATTCAGGAATAGAAAAAGCGGAGAACCGCTTAAACTAATTTATCAATGAAGCACTAGCAAAATTTCAATTGAAAATTTTGTCTGCTCTAATTGTTTCTCATTTGAAGTATGCTTTAATAAAATTTAAAAAAACCTTTCTGTGTCTTTAGGCTTTCCATCGGTGGGCTTGTGGATAAATCTCCATATGGAAAGGGAGCAGAAAATTATGAGAAGAACTCCGCAGATAATTCCGACTACTATTCCTGCAATCATTCCGAGGTTGACGCTTTCGGTTTCATCTGAGAAAAATGAAACAAAAAGCATATATAGAACTTTAAAAGCGATAAAAAAATAGTTGAGGAAAATCGACTTACCTTGTACAATTGGTTGAGTTTTAGATCGATCGCCTCTGTTTACTCCTGTTGGTTTAGATATAAATAGTTCATTTTAGAAACGAGTATTTATGTTGGTTTTTATTCACTTCTTGCTTTAGCAAAGTAAGTAAAAATTATGAGGAAAATTTTAAACAAAAATCACTAACGATTTGCATAGTTTGTGTAAGACTGCTATGAGGAACGATTAAATTGACATTCTAATTCTGCCTAGCACTATTTCTTGGAAGTCAATAGTCGAGCACAATACTTCTTCAAAGTGCTTCTTTGGAAGCCGGTGATTCACTGCAAATTACCCATTCGCTCAATTTAACTAGAAGACAGACGACGCTTAGTCATCTTGGATTATTGCTTTCATCAAGTGACATACGCCGAGTAAAGATGTCCTATTGTCAAGAAGACTAATTATCAATTAGGAGCAGAACAGACACTATTTATAATACAATTAATCACTTTGGTCTCAGAATTCAGAGGTTCTATAGTCGTAAGGGAGCTGAAGTTAGACTTTGAAAATCATATGACCGTCATTGCAAATATTTTAGCTCTAAATATAATCTGACGAAAAGGTGCTTAAAATTGCATACGCTATCAATTATAAATTTTCAGTTATCAAAACACCCTCCATTTAGCCAGATTAGATGGGAACCATCTCTGAAAAGATAGTCCAGTTTTTCAGGATCTACTTAATTACTAGAATATTTCAGTAACAAGACATTTTTATTTTTGTCTTTTTACCAATCTTCATCAGTTAAAAGTTTAATATGTATTGCTCACGCTTCCCAATCTCCTTAAAGACATTAATAATAGCATTTAAGGATAGTGATGACTGGAGGCAAGCAGAGCAAGTTCGCTAAATACGCTTTCGATTATAAAAAAATATCCGTGCCATAAATACTGCATGAATGCAAAAAATGAAGTACTTGTAACAACTTCAGACGGCATTGTAGTAGTTGAAGTCGTGGTGCTTGTTGTGGTGGTAGTTGTGGTGGTTGTGGTTGTCACCGGATCTTCTAAAAAGCATTTAAAAATATATCGTTCACGCGGTTCCTTGTGAAGCTTTGGTGGGATGTTCAGTGTTAAATTACTCGCTGATAATTTCATCTACTTGGCCTTGACAGTGAAAAATTGAAGATAAAGAAAAGAATAGTGAAGAAAAACCAATAAAATTTATCGATTAGTAAACTAGCCAATGACAGTTAATATTGTCCATGTCAGGTGGAAAAATTGAATTTTTACGCCACAGAATATTTTATCATTTCTGGGAATATGGTCACCTAAGGGTTTGTAAATTCAAGCAAAGTAAGATTTGTGATGTTCTGACTTTATGTCAGCCCGCTTCCACTTTGGATACCTTGATGGATGATACATTTCAATAGAACCTTTAGTTCTTCTGCCTTGCCGTGTGCTATAGTAATAACAATAATAATAATATAAAATCCTCCGGCTTAAAAATTTTTGTTAAATTTTAAACTGGAATGAAGGAAAGCACTTTGTTGGTGAGTATTATGAATTTATACCGTTAAATAGTCATATATTGTTTAAAAATCATTCAAAATTTTGTTGCAATTTTTCAAAAAAATATTCTTATTCAAGAAAGCGAATTAATTCCAAATTCATTAGATTCCATATTTAATGGGTGTTTTTGTTTGAGAATATAAAACGAATTCTATCTAGTATGATCAACTTCTTCTAACGAGTAATGGGGAACAAATGTCTTATTTTCAAAATTTACCCCAGTAGATGACATGGGTGAGCCAGTAGTAGTCTCTGTTGCATGTGTAGTAGTCAATGGATTCATTCTTTGTCACCGTGATATTTATGAGACGATTTCCGTTGTAGGCATGCTCTATAATCCAAAGAAAGTTAAAATACAGGGCAGATAAACGGAAAAGATCGAATTTATTTCTTTTAGTCTTACCAACGCTACGAATATGTGGAAAATCAGCGGTTTTGTTTTCCCATGTATATCCAAGTCTGGTAGTGCTGAAGTACAGGGTTTTGTTGATTGATGTATACAGTGAAAACTAAATATTTAAAAATGAGTTTTAAGCAGAACGTAAACAGAGCTTTATGGTTTGCGATTGAAATATGACTCACTGCAGGTGACCATCCATTAATGAGACATTGAAGAACAACAGTAGCATTCCTTGGAACCTTGCGAGCAATGGGTGTGGAGTAAGTTGGGTCGAAGGTGCCTAGAAGTAAATAAATGCCTGATTAGCCTGACATTTATTGATTCACTAATTGAAGACACAAAGCGAATGTCAGGTAATTAATAATTTAGACTGATGGCAGTCTGGTGACTATAAGTTAATTTATTAATTAAGTTAATTTTCCTCAGCACCTTAACTTGAAATGTTCCCATTCCATAAAAGATTGCATAAGTGGTAGTATTTCTCTGATTGAAATTTTTAGCACCTCACGAAATTAGTTAGCCTCAAGACTTTACTGTCTGTTCAGCACAATATAGGGAATATATATGCTCATGTAATAATAGTGAGTAGCCACAATAATTTTTGCGAATAAAAATCATATTGACCACATAATAATGCATCTGAAACCATTCCCTGCAAGCAAGTGGTAATATAATACATGCAAATAGTTAAAATATTGACACGAAATCCGCAAGCTGACGGGTGTGTTAACTTAGTCGATTCCCACCAGAATTTAAGCGTTTAAATAATTTGAGACACGTACTATTCGTTATTGGTAGTCAGCACCTGAAGTTGCCTTCAACGCACTGGCTTTAAAGCTGTGAATTACTCAGGCCATAATGGCTGTAAATACAAACTGGCACTAATTGAAACTCTTGTAATCTAGAATCAATTGAGTTCGCTATTTAAATCATCCGAATTTCACTAGCTGTCGCTGTCTCTCATTAATCAACATTCTAGTTTATTTCAACTCTTCGATCTGTTCAAAACCAACCGTAGGAAGTATCTGACCACTTGTTGTCATTAAAGAAAAAGAGAGTTATTGGGATGAGGTCTAGATGCGAGAGAAAGTAAAGACGAGTCAATCTCCCAGACATAATGCCTCTGAGCTTTAGTATGCGACGTCCGCTGTCATCTAAACGAAAAATAAAGCGGTCATTCCGATATTATATAAATGTGTCAAGACGGCATAAATACGTTACCCAGGGAAATTTGACATTGGAATAACGCTGTCGAATAGTTGCCTGTTGCAGGAATACGATAAATGCCTGAATCTGTGACAATTTTCTAAAAGAGAATTAAACATTTTCAAAAGAGAGAGGGGGGAGGGGGTAGTAGAATACTGACCACTCCTATCTAGACTCAACTTACGTTGTAACTCACAGGAAGAAGAGTTTGGATTTCGAAAGGATCTCCTATAAAACCACGAACTTCATGATTTCTATCGAATCCCCTCGTGTCTGTAAAATGTAAATGAAGATTCTAGTGAAATGTCTTGAATGGGTAAGAGTATTTGCTCCAATCATTGTGAAATTCCTCAAAGTATGACAAGACCATTTCAGTACTTTATTTAATCCATAATACTCTTTGCCTTAAATCCTAGCCAACATTAATGCACTTTATTGACACTGTAAAAATTTCATTAAATTGAGTGCTTTTAAACGTTTATTTGAAAATGGCTATGGGGTAATACTTAATAATAAGGAAACCTAATAACAATTTTATGACAGAGTGAGATCAAATAGATAATGCATTCTAATAAATGGCTTATAGTGAAATCGAAACCGCTTAATATCCTAGAAAATGGCATAAATTTTCTAATTGCCACAGGAAGCGAATAGTAGTAAAACTGATAATCATAATTTAATGAATAGTCAAGAGGCACTCGAAATTGAGGATGATAATTAAATCTCGAATTCAGATGTCCATTAAATGAATATTATAAAACTTCAAAAAACGGAACCAGATGAGCAAAAACTTTTGATGTTCTCTCAGATTCCCTCCCTTTTTCTTTGTTAAACTTTAAGTATTCAGCTTTAACAATGAAGGATTGGAATTTTTCTGGTCTGATATTGGCTATAATAATAATCGCTAAATAGACCAGTTTTAGTGAAAAAACAGCTAATTTTCATTTATTTATTCATATACCTCTACAATTTTATCATCCCAACTTTGCGAACATGGGGTGTGCGATAGACTTACCTCCACGTGGTGCACCCTGGGCAACGTATACTCATACGGCAAAAAAAGTCTATAAACCGGAAGTTGACTTCTGACTTCAAACTACCATCACCCCACTGTATGTCATAGTCTACCCTTTCACAGTACTCATCTTACCCTTTCTGAGCCTTTGTGTCTGTCTGTTTCTTTTACATCTGCGCATCACTCTTCTATTCCCCCTCTTGAATTCTTCTCACTTTGATGTACCCCTTACCCTCTGTGAAGCCTGAAGTCAACTAAAAGGCTAATGATAACTATCAAAACGCCTGCCATTTGTTATAAATAAATGTCATATTCCACCACTACACAGTACTCACCTTACCTTTTTCTCTACCTTTGTGTCTATCTATCTCTTTTGTATCTGCAAATCGCTCTTCTGTTCCCCACTCCTCGACTTTCTGCTACTTTGATGAACCTTCCTTCTGTGAAGCTTGAAGTCAGCTAAATGACTAATGATAGTTATCAAAACGCCTGCCATTTGAAATAAATAAATAAATAAACGTAATTAAACTAGCCATTTGGCGAAGTAAACTGAAACGTATGACTCATAATTAACTAAATCGAAGTAGAGCTGAGTTCG